TTCTGAGTAAACTAAAGTCATTTAGTGACATCTAAAGTATTCATAATTCAGCTGACTGGCTACCTGACTTGATTATCTACTCCTCTTCATGCACACATCATTCCAGAGGTAATGGGCTCTCACCTCAGAGTCTTTGCACTTATCTTACCCTCTGCATGAAATAGTCCCTTTTCCACTTGCATGTTTCAATCATATTGAATACTCTTTAACAGAAAGCGCTAAAGTTTAATGGGAAATAATCCAATACACAATTAATTGCAGTAAACAAGAAGGATAGACAATAATGTGTTACTCCCTTTCAAGTCTGTGCTTAAATATCACTTTCTCAATGAAATTGTTCCTGAAAACGATCTAAAGGTGAAATCCAATTCCACTCTCCCTCTCCCTTCTAATGCCCCCATGCTTATTCTCCATAGTATTGTCAAAATCTAATATAAAGCATATTTACTTACCATCTTTATTTTCAATCTTCCTTCACTAGAATGTGAACTTCAAAAAGGCAGAGATTTCTGACTGCTTTATGCACTGCACCTAAAATAGTGCCTGGCAATAATTAAATAAATATTTGATCAACATATAACATGCCCATTTACCCAAAATTAAATAATTATAAATAATTGATATCATTTACTGATTGCCTGTTATGCATCGGACATTGCAGCAAAGATTTTATACATATTGTCGATAATCCTCAAATTAGTCCTACAAAATAGGTGAATTATACTAAAGCATATTTCTTAAAATTCAGTTTGTGATTATCCAACCCTATGACTGGGATAAGGAAGGTGTCTTATTTTAGTATATTAAAGATTCCCTCCAGTAGAATAGAAGTTTAACACTTCCCCATGACCACAACCATTGCACAAGGGAAAATGAGATTATTCCAAATTTGAAGGCTGAAGAATTTTTGAGCACAAATAGCAGATCCCAGTCTAGTTAGTTCTAGCAAAGAGAAATTTACGTAAACCTGTTGGAAAATGCACAGAATCTCTTAGAGGTTGTTTGGCCAGAAGCAATGCCCAAATTATAATCACCAACTGCTCCAGTGGACAACAGTCAGCTAAGGTGCTACCTTGGAGAGCAGGTCACATCTTGCAACAATGGTGCCACTTCTTATTGTTCTAGCACTGCTACTTTTGAAAGTGTGTCTCTCCACTAAACTCCACCATCTTCACTAGGAAATGGAGACTGCATAGTGTCTGCTTTGCATTACTTGTTTCAGAATCCAAGTCTGTTCACTAATTCCCAAGTCACATGACTACTCCCTAGCTGTAAGATAGGATGAAAAACAACTCCACTATGATTTTGAGTCAGTGAGATTCACTATGGAAAATTCACCAAACAGCGAATTTTCAAAAGATGCTAGCCATAAACATGACAAATGCCCATTACAGACAATAACAAAATTTAGGTTTTAGTAAGAATGAAAGGCAAATGTGTATATGATCACTAGGCACTATTTTAAGAAAGTAGAATCAATGGCTACACTTTGCCTCCTAGGCAAGACAAAGTAACTGAGTCTAGAAAGGAGGGCTTTATTTACGAGTAAGCCTAGTGAAGATTAGGGGAGTGGAAGGCATCCCAAATCAAAATAATGTTTTCATTAGTAGATACGACTTGGGCAGGGTTTAGTTTCTGATACTTGTCCAATGTTTTCTACTTTAACTATGGTACAGTGTCTGAGCTAATAAATGATAAGACCCTCTGCTTCTCCCCCACCCCAAGGAAATTGCTTTCTTGTAATAGCATCAGTGAGCAACAATCTTTCTACTGATATAAGAGGAAAAACCATGACAGTGCTTACTAAAAGGGACGACCATGAGAATACAGTGCCTCAAAAGGATACAGAGCTCCTCTAGTGTACATGTTGCTCATTCAGATGGTGTTTTGATTTCATTGATAGTAACGCATATTATTGAAAAAAATCATATTGCTTTAAATTTCAAGTTAATACTTAATTGGACAGTATGTTTCCAAAGTAAATCACCATTGAGGAATTCATGTTTAAAATCAAATTTAAAATTCATACTGTGTCTTGCAAGGTTTGTGTGTCTTCCCTACTGTAAGTTTGGGGATATTAGCAAAAATAGCTTGCTTTAAAGTTTTCTGGTTCTTAAAGTATTCTCCTTGACAATAATTAGTAGAAGAAAATAAGAATAAAAATTTTGTTAGACATTTAAGCTTTAAAAAGATAAAAATATGAAAACAGAAGTAAATACTTCATAGATATATAGCTATATTGAGATTGAAACATACCCCCCCAGCTCAGTAATAGCATGGTAAAATACCTCTTAAATATTTACATCAAGTTTAATTTTTATTTCATGCTCAATTAGATAAAACTTTACTTGTATTACCTGAACTCTTCAACTCATGGAGAAAAAAGGGAAAGAAAAAAAATCTGTTTTGAAATGTCCTCTTGAATGAAATTTAGAAAAAAATAATTTTATTAAAATTATACCTAGAGTTGACAAATCACTTTCAGTAATACAACTAGCTTACCTAAATCAAAAGGGTATCATCTACATTTGTGAACACTGGAAAACAATGTAAGAGGTAGCGATTTTAGGTAAAATATCATCACGAGAGTGATTAATTTTGAAAAACACAACCCTATTTGCTTTTTAAAAATTATAAGTTACATGCATTCATTTTAAAAAACGAAAATATAACAAAGAAAATACAACTTACCAAATAGCCTTTAGTACAAATAAGCACAATATACCGAAGACTATATTTCCAGCCTTTTGTTTGTACTTTTTAACATAATTGGAATAATGTTTTATGCACATGCATCATTTGGAACTAGTTTTTTTCTTAGTGATAAAGCATAACCTTGAAAACTATTTGAAATTGCTTTAATGACTAGTACTACTAATCATGTTCTAAACATTTTTCTACACTTCAGATTATTTCCCTATGAAATGTATCTTAAAAATAAAGTTACTGGTTATGAGGTACACGTTTTAAAGACTTCTAAAGTAAATCTCTCTCATCAAACTTGTCAAAAAGCGTGATTAATTTACATTTCTACCATCAGGATAAAAGGGCATTCATCTTAATGCCCCATGGCAGGGTTCCAGTTTTACAAAAACTTAAGATTGCCTATGTGATGAATAAAAATCAACATTTTATTGTTAAGTGTACTCAGCAGTACTTAGCGCTACTGGCTATCTGCTTCCTATCCCCTGCCTTATTGTTGCAAATTCAAAGTATAGAAATAGAGGTATTTGGGCAGAGAGAAGGAAAGAAGGTGAGGACTGTTATATGAAATAAGATTAAAGAGATGGAATTATCAGGAGTTTTTACTCAATAGCATCTCCCCCAGGTTCTCAGGACTATAGAAGCAGATTGCAATTTTCAAATCCAACAGACCCCAACACACACATTCTTTCCACTGCCACTTGTCATTTATTTCCTCACTAAAAAGTAATGCAGTTCTTGTTCATATTGTGAGGTTACCTTTTTAGCTTTGGGACAGGGAAGAAAATAGAAAATGATCAGTTGTATAACTTACATTGATAAACTCCCTCTTTAAATTCTCCCGTACTTTATCAGTACCTACACAATGAAGAAAAGTCCCACTAAAATAAATCACTTCTTTTTGTCCTAAGTTGTAATTGCCTGTTTACATACCAGCTTCTCCAAATATATTGTATAAACTTAAAGGCAGAGACTTAACCGCATCTTAATTATTCTCAATTCCCAGCATTTCATAGCACAATGAGCACATAATGAATTTTTTAAAGATTTGTAAGTATAAAGTTTATGTGCACCTTAGTCTAACTACTTATTAGATCCTATTTAAACATGTTAGATAATATTAAGGTAGGCTGGAGGACTGGGGAAAAAAACGATCCCTACCTTAAAGATTACAATCTACTAAATTGTTGTGCAACTAAGATGAAATATTAGTATAAAATAATATTTCAGATAATTTGATAATGTGCATGAGGGATATGTTTGAGATGCATAATTTTGCTAGCGGAATATTAAATGTAAATAGTCAATATTTCAGTTACTAGCAATGCTGGTGTCCCAAAATGGGTTGATTCTAACATATCAACACATGAATTATTAAAATTCCGCCAAAATAAAAACTACCCTTATGAATCTTGGTAATTTCATATATATATAAAAAAAATCATACCTATATTGCTGAGGCCTATTCAATTATCCAAAAGCACCCTCTAGTGGCAAAACAGTAATTCACATAAGCTAACCAAAATTGTTATTTAAATAAGGAGCATCTTGATAGTATTTACCTGAAAATTTTCTAAATGAAAATAAAAATGAGTATGGCCATCAGTACCTATGTTTTAATAATTCTCCATTGCTCTATTCAATAATATAATCAGTTGAAAATAAAAATCAATCTTAGTACTGAAAAAATGTTTACCAAAAAAAAAGAAAAAATGCTTACCATATAAAACACATATACATGAAATGAAATACCCACTTTGCTGTCTTTGCATCTGTGCACTTCTATTGTTTTTTTCATTTCCTGAACTTTTACTCGTGTCATGTTCATCTCTAGCCAAAAGAAAATTGAGTATAATTAAAAATGTTTAATAATAGTTTCAATAGGTAACTCCTTTTTACAAACTTTAAATACGGTGGTTTAAATCATTACATATTAATCACAAATAGATCGCTTTTTGCCATTAAACTTTATAGTACTTAACTAGAAATATCCACGTTTCATATTAACCTTGACAGCACTAATGTTTTCAATTGCTAACTTTTATTAGCTATGAAGAGAATGCCTTAGAAAGCTTATGAGAAGCTTATAATTCTCTCAAGTCATAAAACAATTCAATCTAATCAAATAGTAATAAATTTTTAAAAAGCTGATTGCGTTAAATTACAGCCAATAAAAAGCAATTTTCTCATTTTTTAAAAAAAGTCTTTATTTTTCTTCAAATATTTTGTTTATATTTCAATAGGTTCCTATCTTTCTATTTATGCATGGCTAAAGACATCAGTGAATACCAACTAGCTCTTTTATGCTTTATGTCTTTATTGAATAGATGCAAAAATGAAGACATAATTTGTAACTAAAAAAACACATAGTGTACAAGAAACAATAGCCACAATAATCTTATTTTTCAAGCTAATAACCTTCAGAATATATAAAGAATTTTTACATTTTTAATTTAAGCTTACAATCATGTTATTCTACCACATTGTCAAATTCTTGTGAAAATAAATAAAAATAAAATAAATGATGCATAGGAAAATTTCTTTAAAACTGAACTATTGCACAACAAATCAATATGAGGATAAAATATACAAGTAGTATAAAAATGCACTTAAATACATTGTCACAACATGTCTCATAAGTCATAAACCTATTTTATCTTCTATATTTCTCTGGGATCTGAAATTGGATGATTCATTAACAACTTATTTCCATGTGGTACATTATAACATTTATTTGCTACTGTAAAATTCAATATGTGCCAATTATTTAATTTAAACTCATGTATTTACCTGTTCTGTAAGCAGAAAAAAAAATTATGTGGCCTTAAAAAAATACCTAAAAGAAAACAGTCCTCACTCCTAGATAAAACAAGTTTTATCTAGTTTAAAGTTCTTCATGGAATTTACAACTAGGACAGAATGAAAGTTATTGAAATGGAAACATAATATGTACACTAGTTTTTTAAATTCGTTACAGCTTATTCTAGTTGGTAGACTATTTGTGTTTGTTTTGACCAATATGACTGAATAAAAATAACTAGGGGGACAAAGCTAATAAAAATATCAGGAAAGAAACTATAAGTAAAATGACAATTCCTATTACCACCAAGTTTATATTCCCTGCCCAAACTAAACAAATTAAAAAAAAAAAAAAGAAAAAAAGAAGCTAAGTTAAAAAATTTCAGAAAAATTATAAGCCACAAATATTTACATTGATTCTTACAGATGGTCAAAACCATAAACAAAAAGAATCTATGTAAGCCACTTAAGATTTCTGCGTACCTTTATAATAAGACAAAAGCTCTCTTAAGCTTGTTTGGACAGAAATTATTATGGAATTACTAAATGTGGTTGCACAAGCCACAAAGATCTCTACTAGTAGATACTATGTTACACTGAATGAGATAATGATTAAGAGTTGTATTTTGGCCTAAAGAGAAAAAAATTAAATTTTTGTGTATGTTTAATTACATAAGTCCACTATGTATTAAAACAATACATTTTCAGTGGCTTTTATTGCAACATGAAAGCTGTTTCAACATTAAACATTAAAGAATAAAATATGAGTAGGAAAATTAGATATTATCTTAACCTACTCAAACTACATCTAACTACTTCAAGTAACTAAAATTCAAATATTTATCTTCATGCTCTGCACTAATGATTAAATTACCACAACTATTATTTAACAGGTGAGATGATTTGTTTTAAAACGCACTGCAATAATTTCTTCCAAATTCAGATACATAAAATCTAATTTTTTAAAACATGTGAGATTTTGTGGTGCACTTTGTGTATCTTATGCTAAATAATTACATTTTCAAATATTGCACCAAATGAATTAGTAAATTAAAACTACTCTTCAGACAGTGTGGAAAAGAAAGAATAAAATGAAATGTGGAAACACAAGTGGAAGTAAAAAAAAATATATGTTCAACTAATACACACAGAAGTAAAACAAATCTTTCTGTTATAAATAGAGTAAGATACATTTCTATGTTTAGTGTTGTGTTTCTGAAAAGGAAATCACATAATTACATTTTTATAGAACAGGTAAAGATTTTTAAATTACATTGTTACTATAAAACCTTTTTTCCTCTCCTATTTTTTAGGATAAAATAAGTTATTGAAGAGCTCAACAAGAAAGTGACCTCACATACTTCCTTAATTACATAACTCCCAGCATCCATCCTACTATGATACTATCTGAAGAGAGGCACCGATAATGTAAATGCTTATTCAATTTTTTGCTAGCAGGTATGATTATTCAAAGCTTGAAGGATTAAGCACTAGAGAAGGAGAATTTGTAGACGTACACCTAATGTGCTTTACCAATAACAGAAAGTATTATCTAAATTAATTATTCCACTTGAAATTATTTTCTGACAGATAAGTGAATATTTCCTTGAATGGCACAATCGGGGATCAGGTGTTTATTATGTACAGTATATGTACACATATATACACACACATTACAGAGTGAAAAGATTATGTTCCAAAAATTACTGGAAAAAGTATTTTGAAAATTTTAAGCACAAAATAACTAGAGGAAGTGCTCTAGACATCCAAGCAGCCATACTCGTAAAACTCTGAACTTGGCTCATTTTCTTTTGCAATTCTATTCACAGAATCATTCTTCGAATGCCACATTCACAGCAGAACTTGGCCCATTCTACAGGGTATTTAGTCCCACACTCATGGCAGAATTTTGGTAAGTGTCCAGATGAATTTCCTTCAATGCCTTTAATATTTCCACCATTAAGTGAAGATGAATAGTCTCCATCTGGCCTAAACAAGTACAGAAAGAATGGAAAGACAAGTTCACATCAGTGGTTTTCAACCCATAACCCTTGAGAAATAGGCAAAATAAGTATAACAAAGTCTGCTTAATCTCATTTTTAATACTCCTGTAGTTCAAAATGTTAAAAAAAGAAATCCCCGTTAGTAAATGTTTTAATTCCAAACATTTTTGTTAGCATTATATTTGTTCTTTTTAAGAGAAGTTATCATGACAAAATGTAGCCACATTTTCCATCTGTTCATTGTGCTAGGCATTTACTACACTGGGAACAGAATGAAAATGTACAATGTTCCTTTCTGTAAAACCATCTAAAGAGAGAAAACTGAAACCCAGTCTCGAGGAAAGATGAATCTCTTTAATTTCTACATCCCTCTCTTTAGTCACAAGGACTGTGAGGTGATAATTCCAGCATTTATTTTATTATTTATTTTAATTTAATTATTCAACTATATTAAATTATTGTGCTATATTAAATACTTAACAAGCATGCCCTGGCAGGGTATGCTTTATTAACAAACCATAGTAATAAAGTAATAAAGGTAAAATAGAAGCTGTAAGAACACTTTGGAGCCAAATGTTTGCAATTATAAGGGTTTCATCACGGAAGCTAGATATTGAAGAAACTCAGGTTCTACTGATAAAACATTAATTCATTGAAAGAACAGCTACTTGATCCCTGTAAGAACATCTTTACATTCCCTCCTAGAAGTATTTTTCCGGGAACACAATATTTACTTAAAGTAATCATAAAGGGAACTCAATTGCTGGGATTATAAACCTAACACTATTGGGGGGGGGACGACAACTTTTTCTCCACAGTAGTTGTAAAGAATTCTAGGTGTGCCACAATATCGGTACTTCCTTCATACATGCAGTTTAGAGGTTGAAAAAAAAAATCACTAAACTTTCTAATAAAAGTCAGTAGGGATCTAAAAGTCACAGAGATGAAAATAAAGCAAAATGTCCACATTGTATGCTACTTCCTTTCCTCTCCTTTCAGTTCCACTAGAGAGAGGCTGTAGAACTGCTACAATCTCCTGCATCAGGAAACATACATACTTCCTTAAATATTAAGAGCAGAATATTATAGCATCACCATAATCTCTTTAAACAACAAATAAGACATTAATGAGTTAGAAGACATAACCCCTTGATATAATCAAGGAAGAGTGCCATGAAAAATAAGTCAGCTTTATTGTCAATGAAATATGTAAAAATAATTTCAAAAGACCATTTCAATAATGTAGCAAGGACACTTAAGGAAATCAATACTCATACCAACATTAACAAATATTTAACAAAATACCAAAACTTCAACTTAATTCGATATTGACAAATTTCTTTACATAGTAGATGGCAAGTTTATACTGTCACCAGAATCATATGAGTTTCTCAATATCTTACATTTTCTAACTGGTCAAGAGTTTTTCATTATAGCTAACCTGATGGGAGTGAAGTGGTAGCCTACCATGGATTTCATACACATGTTTTTGACTGCCTGTGAGGCTGGATATCTTTTCATATGTGTGTGTGTGTGTGTGTGTGTGTGTGTGTGTGTGTGTGTGTGTGTCTGTGTGTATGTTTTCCATTTGAATTTTTTTCTGCTGTGAATTACCTGTTCCCTATATTCCATCCCCATCAAAACCCAAGTCATTTCCTACTGAATGGGTTCATTTTCAAAACCATATTTGTAGAAATTCCCCACAAATCTTGCACAATCATTTGTTGGATTATGTACATAGGAAGAAGTATCCTCACACAAGTTGTCGTGCTATTTCACCACTTTATCCATGAATTCTTTTGTAGCACTGGTTTTCATTTTAGTGGAATCAAATGTTATACAGTTATACAATCTTGTTATACAGTTTGTGTTCAATAAGAAATCCTTTCCTACCACAGATGAGACTCTTATATTTTATCTTAAAATGCAGACAGCTTTCCTTTCCACATTTATACCTTTAATTAAAATGTTACTGATTTTTTAAATACTGCATAAGAGATATAGAAAGATTTTCTTCACATATGCATGTCCAATAGTCCCAGCACTACCCATTTCCCAAAGCTGCCTTGCTACCTCTGAAATGTCGCATATTTCTAAGTTCTTTTGTGGGGCTGAAATCTTCTTCTAACCCTCTACTCGAATCTATTTTTCTGTCTATCATTGAATCAATACCACACTGTCTTAATTACCATAGCTTCATACATCATTCACATTATTCTGTTTAATTTGTCCTGGCTAATATTAGGCTTTTGTTTTTCAAACATATTTTAAAAACAACTTGTGAAGATTCATGAATTTTGTTTGAAAAAATTCACTGAATTTATATAGTAATTTCTGAGAGAATAGATGGCTTTACCTAACAGCTTCATAATATTACATTTTCTATTTTAAGAATAAGGTATATATAGGCATACCTTGGAGATACTGCTTGTTTGATTCCAGATTACTGCTATAACGCGAATATATCAATAAAGCAAGTTTTATGAACTTTTTTGGTTACCCAGTTCATTTAAATAAGTTGTTGCTGGGCATGATGGCTCACTTGTGTATACCAGGACTTTGGGATATGGAGGTAATAGGATTGTCTGAGTTCAGGGGTTTGAGACCAGCCTGGGCAACTTGGTGAGATCTCTTCTCTACAGGCCTGTAGTTCCAGCTACTTGGAAGGCTGAGGCAGAAGGATAACCTGAGTCCAGCAGGTTGAGGCTGCAGTCACCGTAAGTGTGCTACTGCACTCCAGTCTGGGCAACAGAGTGAGATTCTGACTCAAAAAAAGTTGTGTTTACACTATACTGTTGTCCAGCAATTCCCTTTTTTTTTTTTTTGGCATCAGGGACTGGTTTCACTGAAGGAAATTTTTCCATGGACCATGGCGGGGTGGGAATGTGCAGTCAAATCTCACTGCTAATGTTAATCTGTATTTGCAGCCTCTCTCCAGCACTAGCATCACCACCTCAGCTCCGTCCCAGATCATCAGGCATTAGATTCTCATAAGGAGCATGCAACCTAGATCCTTGACATGCGCAGTTCTCAACAGGGTTTACACTCCTATGAGAATCTAATACCACTGCTGATCTAACAGCAGATGGAACTCAGGCAGTAATGAGAATGATGGGGAGTGGCCATAAGTACAGACCAATGAAGCTTTGCTCCCTCACCCACTGCTCAACTCCTCCTCCACAGATTGGTCTGTTTACCAGGGGTGGGGGATACCTGCTGCAGTCTATTCAGGGTGAGATAGCATTATCTAAAATGTAAATACCTTAATTTAAAAATACCTTATCATTAAAAAATGATAACAATCATCTGAGCCTTCAGCAAGTCATAATCTTTTTGCTGGTAGAGGTCTTGTCTTGATGTTGATGGCTGCTGACTGATCAGGGTGATGGTTGATGAAGGTTGGGGTGACTGTGGCAATTTCTTAAAATAAGACGACAAAGCAACGTACTCTTCCTTTCATGAAAGATTACTCTGTAGCACAGGATATGGTTTGATAGCATTTTACCCACAGTAGAACTTCTTACAAAATTCAAGTCAATCCTCTCAAAACCTGCTTCTCTTTAACAACTAAGTTTATGGAATATTCTAAATCCTTTGTTATCATTTCAATCAACAATGTTCATGCATCTTCACCGCAAGCAAATTCACCTCAGGAAAACACTTTGGTCATCCATAGAAATCAACTCCCTATCCATTCATGTTTGATCATGAGATTGCAGCAATTTAGTCACATCTTCAAGATTCACTTTTAATTCAAGTTCTTTTGCTATTTCCACCACATCTGCAGTTACTTCCCCCACTGAAGGTTTAAAGTCCTCAAAGTTCCATGATTTTGGCTGGAATCAACTTCTTCCAAACTCCTATTCATGTTGAGTTTTTGACCTCCTCCCATTAATCACAAATGTTCTTAATGGCATCCAGCGGTAAAACCTTTCCAGAATGTTTATAATTTACCTTGCCCAGATCGATTAGAGAAGGGGGCCTCAACTCCCAGGTCGTGGACTGGTACTGGTCCATGGCCTATTAGGAACCGGGCCGCTAAGCAGGAGGTGAGCGGTGGGCAAGCAGAACTTATCTTCCGTCAGATCAGCAGCAGCATTAGATTCTCATAGGAGTGTGACCCCTATTGTGAACTGTGCATGTGAGGGACCTAGAGTGTGCAGTCTTTATGAGAATCTCATGCCAACTGATCACAGATTACAATAACAGATACAATAATTTTAAAGTCTGGAATATTGAATACATTAGCAAAATGTGATACAGAGACATGAAGTAATCACATGCTGTTGAAAAATGGCACTAAGAGACTTGACAGAGTTGCCATAAACATTAACTTTTAAAAACCATAATATGTACAAAGCAGAATAAAGCAAAGAACAATAAAATGAAGTATGCTTGGAACTCTAATTTTTTTAATGTTTTTGAAGTTTTGTAATTTTTCCATCAAATTTAAAGTTCTTGCTTGGCTTGGAACTAGTTCCGATGTACCTTAAATTTACATGTGTTTATGTGGATCTTTCTAAAAACTGTACTTTAAGAGAAACAGACTGCAATAACTTTTGGCAAATTGATCTCATGTCCATTTACTAAGATTACTATATACTCAATAATCTGTCTTTTGGAGAGATTTATTTATATATACACAAATATATACACATATATATTCATATTATCTGTAAATAATGTTTTGCCTTGATTTCCAAATCTTATAAATCTGTAATCTTTTTTGCCTTATAACATTTGCTAAATCCTCATAAAATAGAAATGATTATAACTGATGTTTTTGTTATCTGTGCTTTTACAGAAAATATTTGCTATATGCCATCATTAAATAATAATACTAATGCAGGGCTTTAAGAAATAAATTTTGTCAGTTTAATGACATTCCCTTTTATTTTAATTTTCTAAGAGCTTTTGTTTTTATGAAGAATAAATGATAAATCTTATTGAATGCTTTTTCTATATCTATTGAAATGACCTATATTTGTAATCCTTTAATATTTTAACATGATGAATTTTGTTAATAGACTCCCTAATGTTAAATGAAACTTGCTTTCTTGGATAAATCTAAAATGTCAGAATTGCTAAGTTTATGAACTGCGTTTGCTATAATTCTTAGAGATTCTCGTCATGTATCTTCAAGTTCATACATAAGATTCATTATAATTTTACTTTCTCTTATTAGCCTGTGTATTAAAGTTTGACTAATCTTTTAAAAGAAATTGAGAAACATTATTTCTCAGCCCCCTCCCCTGGAAAAGTTTGGCAAAACTTACCATGTAAAACCATCATGAGACTAGTTTGCTTGCATGTGGTGTGAGGAGATAGGGGGAGTTAATTATATGTTTGTTTAGTTTTCTAGTTTATTTTAAATCAGTTTTTTTTCTTTTTTAAATCTTTTGTTTGAAAGACGTGGGGTACAATTCAGGGTTAGGTATACAAATGTTCATTATGCAGGTACCTTTGTTGATGAGGTATGCCCCACCCCTCCTGGCAGTTTCCCACTACTGTCAATCCCTTTGTTATGGTATTACAATAATTGTTCAAGTTCTGCTTATGAGTGAGAATGGGAATTTGTGTTCTTTATTATTATCTTTTTATTTCATTGTGTTTTATCTTTATTATTTTATATACTCAGTATTAGTTTTATTTAAATAATTTCCAATTTATTTGCTCACCATTCTTCCTTATAAAATTCTTCCTCTTTTGGTAATTTTCTACTTTCCTAAGAAACAGCTTTTGGATGTTTCTTTATGAGGGTCTACAGATCATAAAATTTCTCAATATTTTAAAATCTGAAAACAGCTTTATTTTACTCATTAGTAAAATGATAGTTTAGCTCAGTAATTCACAAAATGATGTTCTCAATCTGGTAGCATCAGCATCATTTGAGAATTTATCATTAAAGCAAAATGTTGTGCCCCACCCGGATCTACTGATCGGAAATCTTGGGTTGGGACCAAAACTCTGTGTTGTAATTACCTCTCCAGGTAATTCTGGTACACACTAAAGTTTGGTATACGATCCAAGACATTTATTTTCCCTCAGTACTCTCAAAGTGCTTATTTCATTGTCTTTTGTCACCAAGTGTTGTAAGTAAGTCTAAGTGGATAATCCTGTAGATAAGTGATGTCCTTTTTTCTCTCGCTGCTTATAAGATCTCATTGTCTTTGCTTCTCAAGTTGTATGTATTCATATAACTTTCCTTAAAACTTTCTAGAGTAAGTTGGGGGGTGTTGGTGTTGGGGTGTGTATGTGTGTGTGTGTGTGTGTGTGTGTGTGTGTGTGTGTGTGTGTGTGTGTAAAATAAATATATGTATATTTTATTATAAATATTTAGATTATATATATTATATATATAAAATAAATATCATTGAGATGAGTTCATTATATGTTTAAAAGCAGGCAATGCCAAAGTTAAGTAAATACCATAACAGACTAGAAAGAGAAGTATGTTAATAAACATCTCAGAGGATAAGATAAATATTAAAATGTTGTTATAAATTATAATAGCAGTGGTTCAAAAGTTCTTTTATTCTATTTGTAGTGGTAAAAATAACTATGTTGCTAAGTTAAAATGAATACACCAAAAGGTCAAACAAGTCTAGTAGAACTGAATAAATTCTTTGAGCATTTACTTCATAATATGATAACAAGATATGGAAAATATTATTTATGCCCAAACCAGCTTTTTCAGTGTAAAACTTAAAAGTCAGATTAAAATTAAAAAATCAGGTTTTCTATCAATTTCTTGTTACTTATTTTTGTGTATGATCTTTGAAAAATTATCATAAACTCATTTTTATTTTAGTTATTAGAATAGTAGAGTTAAACATACCTGGCTATGTAGCTTTCGGTATATGTTTTTCTTTTGTTTGTAAGCACACCTGAGGCAGGATTTTTTGCCAAACTAGGTGGTGTGGAATTTCGAGGTTTGATGTTAGCTCTATAAGAGATGAAATCCAAAAAAGTATTGAATAATAAGTCTTTCTCCAATTGTCTACTTACATAATTAGAAAAATAATTAGAAGCTGCAGAGAAGTTCAAAAGGTTAAAGTCCAAATAATTATTTTAAATCTGAAAACAAACAGTAGTTAATACCAACAATAAACCAAATAATTTTGCATTTACCATCACTATCCTGATAATACATAAAATCAATTAAAATATGTATGTATGCAGACATACATATTTAACATACAATTAAACATTCTGAAAAGCTTCAAGTTTTTTTTTAAAAGTATAAATTTATAGTATAAACTTGTATTTCCCCCAAAACATAGACATGTTATGTTAAATGCTGCTTATGGGTAACTCTAAAAAAAAAGCAAAACAGAGCTTTAGCCTCCCCCACTACTTTGGAGAGGTGAATTGTCTTTCTCTCTCTTATTTACTTTCAAAATAAGCTTTCCTTGAAAACTTAAAAAAAAAAAAAGTAAAACAAAACAAAACATAACATATATGCTTATTATTCTAAGAATATGACATGTGGCTAAAAAAAGAAACATTAGTCACTTTATAGGATAATATTCAATTTATAAAAGTTCCTGGAAAAAGCAACTAAAATAAATGGGCTAATGTAATTTCCTTTTAAAGATTTCATTTTATTAACTGCACATCAGAGCTATCTTGAATCAGGGGGGACCTTTGATTGGATCATCCCTGAATCTCCATCTTGAAACTACAGTGATCAAAGAAAACTTAGAATGCTAACCTCGTTTCTACAATAAATCAAAAATTAGCCAAGCATGGTAGCATGCGCCTATAGTTCCAGAGCTATTTAGAAAGCTAAGGCAGAAGGATCGCTGGAGCCCAACAGGTTGAGGCTGTGGTGGCCAGGAGCGTGCCACTGCACTCCAGTCTGGGCAACAGAGTGAGACTCCAACTCAAAAAAAAAAAAGAAAGCTAAATGATGATATAACACTATAAGTATACACACTTTGGGATTCAAATGAATCTAGATCCAAATGCCAGTGCTGCTGAACAGCTTTGTGACAGTGAGTCTGAATTTCCTCATTTATAAAATGATCACTTATCTTACAGAAAGGTTATCAGATATAAATTGCAATTTATATAAATATTTAGATAGTTGACAATGATAATACTATTACTATTGCTATTGCTAATACTACAAGTTAACATTTATATAATACTGCTTACTACATGCCAAATACATTTATAATTATTTTGCACACAAACTTATTTAATCTCAATAATTCCAAGAAATGAGTAGGATTAATAACTCCATTTTACAAATGAGGCAACTGAGGTAAAAGAGCTCTTAAGAGGTTACCCAAAGTGACACGGCTAATATGTTGCAAAGCTAGAGTTTAGCTGTTAAGTAAAGTATAGTTCACCTTTCACCCCAGAAAGATTTAGTCAAATCTTCTCATTTCACAGGTAAGCAATGTTGCATTACATGAACAAGCAGAATACTTTTTAAAAATACCTCCAGATTAGAAGTTCTTAAACTTTGGCTGAAATTCTTCCTCCTCTACTAATTCAACAAAGTAGGAAGAGTAGCCCAAAATTTTAAATAGCTGTTTCCAAACACATGGTAATAACAACATCTACTATTTTTCAAATACCCACCATATGACAAATATGGCACTAGGTACTAAACGTATACTTCACTTGATTTAATGTCCCCCAAATCTCAGAAGATATTATTCCCATTTTAAAGTTGAAGCCTGTTCAAAGAGATTACATAAATTGCAAAGCTATCATGTGACCAAAGCAGGACTTGAATGTAAGTGGATTGTATTACAGATCTTGTATTCAATATACAATGCTGTCATTTAAAGAGTAATTGCTTTGAATAGTTACTTCTTTAAATTATTTTTAAAGCCAGGCTCGGTGGCTCAGCCTGTAATCCCGTGCCTTTGGGAGGCTGAAGTGAGTGGATTGCCTGAGCTCGTGGGTTCGAGACCCGCCTGGGCAGCGAGACCTCATCTCTACAATAAATCAAAAAATCAGCTGGGCATGGTAGTGCATGCCTGTAACTCCGGCTACTTGGAAGGCTGAGGTGGAAGGATCGCCGGAGCCCAGCAGGTCGAGGATGCGGTGGCCGGGAGCGGCCACTACACTCCAGTCTGGGCAACAGAGTGAGACTCCAACTCAAAAAAAAAAAAAAAATTATTTTTAAACTTCAACTGGCAAAAAATAACCTTTGTGCATGGATGGAATGCCCTGGACTTCTTCAAATGGTCACTCCAAGTCCATCCATGAAGTTTTCTCTACTTTTGTACAGACCCTACGGATATGTTCTAGAACTATCGTGCCTTTCTAGTAAATCAATCTCAAAAAAAGGTTATTGACAAAGAATGGTATTTGAATAGGAAGACTTTTTTTTTTGACTCTAGAATGGTATTACTGGAAATCTTATACAGATAATACAAATACACCCATACATATATACACATAATTTCACCATACCAATAATTTAAGATATTGAAGATATGTATATTTAGATGAAAATATAAGAGATTATCATAATTAATAGCTGCCATTATCAAATACCTATTATTTATTTTCAGTATAACATTGTCCAAGGGGTAGAATCTGAGTATCAAGAATCATTCTTATGAGAATGGGAAGAACGGTCTGGTTTGACTCAGTACTTAAAACATGTTAACCCAAACTCACATGGGCAACACAATTTTCTTCCAGGCCAGAATCTGAAAAGTGTTATTTCTATTCTATATCAAGAATCTGCCTGCAGCTCCAACAAATAATTAAAGAAGGTTTAATTTGGAACTTCACTTTATCTTACTGCTAGTCACTATTTCTTTGAGATCTGTTTCAGACAGCAAGTAGCAGTAGTAAAAAATGGCTCAGAGCACAAACTCTCCTAGGATGGCTGCTGCAAATACCTTAAAGACTTCTCTCTTCTTTATTTTACTGTTTATCTAGTTATTTACTATTACTATATGGTCTACCATATAGTAAGTAGACCATTGTAGCAGGTGTTGTTTTAAAAGTTATCTAAGTTAATTGGGTTTAATAATATCTTTTCAACTTTAAATAAGTAAATTAATTTTTAGTTCATAATTTCATCATTTAAAATGAGGGCTACAAATGAGGCCCAAAACGGTAAATAGAAAGGAGTATCTGGTAGTGTCATCACATTCTTTCCCTGCTTTATGTGGAACTTACAAACCATCTAACAAAAAGACTAATAAGGATCCCTAGATTAAATGTTTTTTAAGATTTTTTTCCTGCTTTTTATAAAAATTCATCACTTGTTTAACTAAAAGATAATCTAGCAATATTATATACCATATATGACATAATTTTTCTCAAACTCTACTTTTTAAAACTAATAAAAACCTTCTAACTACTCCCCAAAATAATTTCATAAAAAACAATTTTTAAATGTGACTGCAATTTAAACCCTCTAAAATTAATATTCAATGGAATAATATGTAAAATCAGTTTTTTGACAATAGAAATATTTACCAAAAATCAAAATGTTTTAAATATTAGACAATTATTTAGTAATGGTTTAAATATTAGAAGATTACTTTAGCCTAAAAGTGATTCAACTAACATTTTTTCGTAAGTATAGGAAAGTAAAAGCTATAGTATTCTATTATATAAAGTCTTTAAGGAAATATCTGAAAAATATTAACCAAACTGAGTTACAAATACTTACTTGTAAATGGGTAATAACTCATGTCTTGTGATGGCACTGTCTGATACTGTATCACTGCCATACAACCTTTGCACATGTCTTCCAGTTCGAAGTGGAGGGCCTAACTTGTCCATCTTACTATTAAAATATATAAAGGTGTACTCATAAGGAGATTGCTACTGTTTGTTTCTTTAATATCAAGATTTTTAAAGACATTCTCTGATTAATCAGAAATCTACTCTCCAAGTTCCTAATTATCTGACTGCCAGGGTAAAAACGAATGTCCAAAAGAATCCTCAGCCAGTTTATATAACACCCATTATTAGATATGAAAATTTTGACTATGCAGGCTATCCTACACATCCAAACAAGTGCCATACTTATACAAGGCAAGGGCAACAAAATCAATGAAAAAACTTAGGAAGAACAACTGTTTCAAAACAAATTCATGAAGCCTTATATAAGTGAACTGAAAGCTGTTATTCACAAATAATCTAATTTTTGCTCTTCCCCGAATACATGAAAAACGTTCTCTTTTTCTTCATTATATGATTCTCCTGCATTTAAAAATTCCAAATGTAAAATAAGGAATTAAATAATGTTTACCCCATCTGACCTTCTACAAAGATTGACTTTCTGAAATTTATACAAAGTAAAACATGATCCTTTGTGGGGGAAAAAAAAAATATGTAAGGCAATTCTAAAAATCACATGTAGAAATGGTAAGGGGTCATGCCATCTGAAAATATGTTTTTTTAAAACCAAAATTTTTTCTAATATAAAGGAGCTCTATATAGAAGATAGTAGGATAAACAACAGTTGGCTTGTAGGATATTTTGTTATTTTAAATCAACCAGCAAAATAATTCAATCATATAATCACAATCAACATTCATTCAGAGTTGGGAACAGAGAAAATTAAGGGACATTATTCTAAGGGATGTTTGTTTGCTCACTCATTTCTTCACCCATTCACTGACTATAAGAAGCCCTGAGCACCTACTATGTGTCAGGCACTGTGCTACATTCTAGGGACATAATAGTAAATAAGAAAGACATGATGCTCATTCTTAGGAAACTTAATGTCTAAAAAGAATGTGTTCATCTTTCTAGATTATTAAGGTCTATAAGGGATCATTTTATTCATTTTTTATGCTCTTTCAGTAGCCTACACATAGGTATTTTGTTGTAAAAGTTGACAGTAATACTTTGTAGATGAAGGTGTTTAAGTAGGATTAAGTTTTTTAAAACTGCTTTCATTAAATATATTAAGCATAACTTCTAAAAAGTTTGAAATTAAAATTGTGTGTGAAA